TTTTATTACTGAAATTCATTTCACTTTTCATAGGAAAACAAGGCCACTAAATTTCAGTCACTTATTTTCAGTCTGTGATTGTGTTAGTGCAATTATAAACCAACAAACTGAGAAATATTCTTTAGATACAGTTACTTAAAACAAAATTAAACTTTGTTTAATAATACAGTGGGAAAGAGCAGAATTGTCAAGCTGAAATGTTACACAAATGCTGTTTTTATGGAGTGGGAGATTACACCTAGATGACATTTCTCTCTCTCTCTCTCTTACTGCCGTCGAGTCGTATGCTACTCATAGAGACACCCCTCCTTGGCTGTCCGAGATAGTATCACTACAGAAGTAGGTTGCCTCATCTTCCGAGGAGTGGCTGGTGGATTTGAACTGCCAGCCTTCTGGTTAGCAGTCAGATGCCTTAGAGACTACACCATTCACCAGGTGACATTTAAGTGAAAATAATTACTTCCTTTATTTTAGCCAACATTTGCTAGAAGTCTTTTATTTACCATGCATTGTGATAAATACTTGGAAAATACTACCTGAACAGTATCACTGCTCTCAGGGAATAGGTAAAGGAAGCAAATTGCAGACAAATTTATTGTTTCTGCTTCCAACATAAATTGTATTTCTCTATCTCCTGACTTAGTCTCTAGGTGGTAACTTCACATTCTGTGATTCTACTGTACAGAGAAAATGGAAGCCAACAAACTGGAATATTTTTAAGTTCCTGTCCTCAAACCTCCCTCTCTTTTGTCTCCCCTAAGTACCTAAACATGAGCTTCTAGATTCTGACTCTCCAAAAATCTATGCAATTGATAGAATTGTATACAATCGTATACAATACATTCCTTCTCTTTGCTGTATATTTTCAACATCTTTAACTTCTCTCTTTCTTAGTGACTAATTTCTGTCAGTATTTGAATGTTTCTCTTAATTTTAAAAAAGCAAACTCTTACTCTAATTTTACTCTCTCCTTTTCTAGCCAGATTTCTCAAAATAACTGAATTGTAGCTCTAATTCTTCATCTTCTAATCACCACAACTCGGGTCACCCTTATTCTTTCTTCTTGCCATATTTTGATCCCCAGCATCACTCTTCCTAGAATCCCTAGTGTCTCCTTAAGTGCTCAATATTGAATGAAAATAATGTACATTTTCAGTCCATTTTGAGTTCTTGGCAACATTAATTAGTGGGTTACTCCTTCCTTCTTGAAACACTCTTTTCCTTTAAAAATCTTTTATATTCTTTTTTAAGCTCGTTAAATGCTAGGATTCCTAAGTTAATTGGTCATAAGACTTTTTTGAGTAGTCTTATCTGTTCACTTCCATAGCTTTATTTACTGTATATATTCCAACAATTCATGTACTTTTATCTCCAGCTCAAGCGCCAGCTATACCTTTGGTATTAAATTTCTCTACTTTGAAGTTTAAATGAAAAAATAATAATAAGCTATAATTCAAGTGCTTGTTAAGCACTAGACAGAGAGCCAAACATTTTGCGTTTGTTTAACTTGGCCCTTTAAAAAAACTTCTCCATTTTTACAGTGAAGCAGTGGTTCTCAAACTGCAGTGAATGTAAGTATCAGCTAGAGGGCTTATTGAAACATAATGCTGGGCCCTACCTTCAGAATGTTTGATATAGTAGGTCTGGGATGGGGCCTGAGAATTTGCATTTTCACCATGCTCCCAGATGATGTTGATGCTTCTGGTCTGGAGAGCACACTTTGAGAACCACTGCATTAGAGAAGTAAAATAACCTACCTCACAGCTGTCACAAAGCTGGTATTTGATCCTAGGCAGTTTTACTCCAGAGCTCTTACCCTTTTATCCCACCCCCTCTACTCTACCCCAAACACATTGTACTACCAACCTCTTAGGTGCTTCGGACTCAGTGTATTCATAACAGAGCACTTACATCTCCTTTCCCCAAAACATGGTCATCTTCCTGGTTTTCCTAGGTATCATTAATATAGGCTAGAAACTTACCCTGACCCCCACCTACTCATGTTTAGTCTCTGTTACCATGCCCTAATTCTGACCCAGGAAAGTTTCTCCTATTCACCCACTTTTTTCCAATTGTTATTGCCATCAACCAAATCAAGGCCACTATTAGCTTGAAACTGGATTGTTACAATACTTTCCTACTAACCTCCTTGCATATCCTCTTCTCCTTTAATTCATTCATATATCAAAAGGGGTGATTATATTTTCTTTAAAGGCAAATGAGATAATACCCAGTTTAAAATCTTTTTCTTGCGTTTAGAATGAAGGTCAAAATCCTTACCATGGCCTGTAAGCCCTACTCTTTTGTTCTTCACTACCTCCATTTTGTAGTACTCTCTCAATCTTCATAGAATCATGCAATCCTACTGGCCTTTCAGTATTTCAGTACCAGATTTGTTTGTTTAATGAGTTTGGGTTTTATAACTTTAACACTAGAACCTTTGCTGTATAGTAGTCTGTTGAATAAATATGCCAGAGTTTGTTTACTACTATAAATATTATTAAGTAAGTATCTGCTTATGCACCAGAGCAGGGTTTTTTGGTTTTGTTTTACCTTGGAGTTTTGGAAGCCAGAGTAGTCAAGGATACTATTTCAATGAGTCTTGAATGGGAAGTAGAGGGGAAATTGTTTTAAAAATGGCATTTAAAAACATATCTTCTGGGACTCAAGTCAATAGACAAGAAGAGTTTAGAATCATACTACTAGGATGATGTTAGAATCACAAGCAGGAACCTGAGTATCAGGCCCTTGTATTTTAAACTATGGGGCAATTGTGGTTCATTGGTAGAATTACTGCCTTCCATGTGGGAAGACCATGGTTCGATTTCCAGCCAGTGTACCTCGAGTACAGACTTGCGTGTGTGGTGATGCTGAACAAGTTTCAATAGAGGTTGCATACATTGAGTGGAAAGGCCTGATGATCTATTTAAAGTCAGCCAGTGAAAACCGTATGAATCACCGCAATCAGATCTGCAGGGTTAGTCATGGGGAACGGTGCAGGAACGTCCAGTATTCTGTTGTGCATGCAGGCACCATGAGTTGGAGGCCATTGTGACAGCAGCTAACAAAAATTCTAAAATAAGAACTTGAAGTTTTCCCTCAAAGCTGTGGTATGACCCGTTTAAGATTTTAAGTAATGAAACAGCATAAGATTTTGTTTTAGGAAGATCTTTCTGATAACATTGTGGAAAATGATTTTGAGAAGTGAGCACTATTTTGGAAACTGGGAAACCTTTTCAGTAATACACTAACCAGGAGACGAATGCTAAGTGTCTGACTTTAAGCAGTGGTAAAGAAGTGGAAGGGATGGAAAGATTTGAGGGAAATGTACACATTTAAACCAAAAGTATTCATCTCTTTAGAATGCCTTTTTCTTTTAAGCTGTTTTTCCACATCCTTTCTATATTTCCAGATTGTGGTTGTGTGCCAGCGAGTCAAATCTGACTCGTAGTGAACCCTGTATGACAAGGTAAAAACTATCCACATAGAGTTAATTAAGGAGCTAGTCAACAGGTCTTTCCTCCCGAGGAGCCACTGGTGGGTGCCCACCTTTCTTTCAGTTGGCAACTGAGTGTTTTAACTGTTGTGCTACTAGGGCTTCTTTCATTTCCAGATTTGTTCTCAGGAAGTACCTTTTTTCTCTGAAGTCTTCCCTTACTGGCCTAACTTTAATTGGTCTTATCTGCTTCTGAATCAATAAAGAAACAGTGATCTGTTTCATACGTTTAGCACCTACTAGTTATTATTATGGGAGCTCTGGTAGCATAGTGGCTAAGACACTTG